AGCCTGTGTACGCAAGAACGAGTGTGCGTTGCGCATACGAGCAGCATATAAGATGTTGGTGGTGGTGGCGGTGGTCGCAATAATCGGACAAATAGTAGCTGCTGTTGTGTGGCTGGCGATTCCTCAGCCACGCGCCTGCCTGCCTGCCTGTCTGCCTGTCTGTCCATTCACAAATAATCTTCTGCTAGGTGACGCTGCTGTGTCTGTGCTTTTGCGTTCTGCGCTCTTCTCAGGTCTTGCTTGTGTGCATGCAGTTGTCCGTTTATCAGTTGAATTCTGCTTCCTATATACTTGCTTTGAACCCTTATTTTGTCTAAATGGGAATAAATCTTCGTATAAATAAATTAATTTAAGTATATGCGTTATATACATATATTTTTATACAGTATATGTATATATATATATATATATATATATATGAATATATGTGAAGGGAAAAAGAGAGAAATAGAGCAACAGATTTACACTGATGATGGCCTGAGTGATAATATATGAGTGATGCTGATAATGCAGTTGAATTTTTAATAATATGTTCTATATAGAGAGAGATATTTTTTATTTATTGGTTGATTTGTATATTTATTTATTAATTAATTATGTAATTATTTTTAGAAAATCATTCATATGGGTGTGGTTGTTTGTGCGTGAAAGTTGTGTGTGTGTACAAGTTTTCGCCTCTGATTCATATAAATTTGTATATAAATGAATTTTTAAACATACACATTTGTAAATTTTTATTAATTACTAAGCTGATGCTCGCTTCATCCCACATTTCGTGTGTCGACGCATAGTTCTGTCCTAGACATACTGAGGTTTAGTTTTTAGTATACATTTCATGTTCATACACTACGCCTTCCTCATTTTGCTGTTCGGCAAGCAAACAAACTTGTGTGCATTTGTGTTGGAAGGTTGTATGTGTGGCGGAGTTTGGGTTGAAAGCATTGATGTCCTTCGCAGAGTGTTAATTATAAATAGGATTAGTTGAATATGACTACTTGCACATGGCTACATCATTTTGTCATCATCAACATCATATCATTGCTATCATCATCATATCATTGCTTCCATCATCATCGTCGTCGTCAGCATGACCAATCAATACAATGATACAATACAATAATTATTTATTTAAATAAAATACCGCAATTAACTATACTGCTTCATATCTTACGTCTAAAAGTTAACTGTTTGTTAACTACTTTTCAAAATTCTTCCAATAAGTTTCGTTCAGATGTTTTCTCAGTTTTTAACTAAGAGAAAACAGAACAAAAAATTACATATTATAAAAGCAAATCCATATATGCATTTATTGATTTTGTAATATTCGCTCTTAAAACTGAGTTTTAATGCAAATTGAGAGCAAAGTTAAAGGTATTTCCTCCATTAGTTTCGTCATTTTTGCAGGATATATCGATTGATGATCTTCTCTACTTACGGAACACAGTTTATTGTTTTATAAAATCTTTCCAAAATTTGAAATGTTGTTTTTATAAAAAAAAAAGAGTCTTAACTGAAATTCCAAAACGTTCTTGCCCATGGCATAAACAACTTCCTTACCTGAAAGTACCCCACTTTAGAGTACCCCACTTTAGGATACCCCTCTTTTGAATACCCCACTTCATAGTTTTAAGGGGACTGCCTGCAATCCATTAATTCTGTTTATATTCTCTTTTCACGTACAAATCTTACTTGGAAAAACAATCAAACGAATTTTAAACTTTAGCTTGCAGAAGTCTTTGTTCTTATCAGTATTGTTTTTGACTGCAGAATGCAGACAAAAACATCACAGCTTTCATCACAGCTTTCATGGCAGCACTTGAATAGCAATCGAATAGGTTAAAGGCTACTTAAAAAGGTTAAAGGTCTATTTCACTTTTCTTTAAGTTCATGGGAATCGACGACATACAAACAGCGTGCATGATAAACGACGCATCACGTACGAAGCATGTGATAGAGGGGTATCTTTTTGTCATGTTCGAACCCGGTCACTGCAGCTGTACCTGAAGGAGTACCAGGCGACCTTAACCACTCGGCCATCACGCCGCTCAGATGTACTTTTGTAGATCAGAAATTAAACATCTCTACACTCAAACAGAAACGCAATTTTGATGTTTTCAGATAATATGTGGCTTGCCACAAATATTCGTCTATAAATTTTTATTGTGTGAACAATGTGCACGCTACTTGCTGTTTATGTAATTTGAATAATGCTACATAAACTAACAAAAATGAAATATTATTAATATTGAAAAAAATTGACTGTCGCACTTATTTTTCTACTGTTATACTAATGATTAGAATTTCGTGTTTGCTACGGTAATAAAATGCATTTTAATTTTTAAAAATTGATGTTGGTGATAAATTCCGACTGGGATATTTCTTGAAGGTTCAAAAGTCAGATTTGGACTGACTGGCGGTAAACGTCTTCAAGACCTCCCGATTGGTGATGCTCCCTCCAATAATATAATTCAATGCTTGTTCGGGGTGTTCAAAAGATGTTTCTCGCTGCTTCACTTTGTTTCAATGTTTTCTATTTATATATACTTAGGTTTATTATTTTCTCGTAGACAGCAGTATTTACTTAAGTTATTTGGTTTCTACCACGCGTGAACGTTTTTCCTTTCACCTTGCAATTTTTTTTATTTTTGATTATTTCAAGTTTTTATTTTAAAATTATTTAATTACTTAAAATTTATTGTTCTAAATATTTCTAGTTATATTCGTGTTATTAGTCTGACCAGCCGGTCTTTCATTAAATTGTGTTGTTGATTTCATATATTGAACGATATTTGATTGGCACGTTGCGCGCTAAGATTTTCAAAAGTTTGTTATCATCAACTCTTTCACGGTTGTAAACAATTTTTAAACTTTCAACGAAACGTTACTCGCGTAAACACACGAATTGTGTTTACGGGATGAACAATTAATTTATGCTGTGATTTTGTTTGTGTTTGTAGTCACGCACAGTCAGGCAATAATAAATTATGTTAATGTGGACAAAACAATTAATGCTTGTGTTGCTTGTAAATAAACAAACAAGAGTGCGTCTATTTCAATTGTATTGAATTAAACGTGCTGCACAAACAAAATATTCTTTGGTGATTAGCCGGTCTGCGTATTAAATCCTATCGAAATTCTGTTGTACTGGTCTTCATAAAAGACTTAACAGCCTGTTGTATTGTTATTTTAAACTAAAGCTTATAAATTGGATGCGGTGAAATTCAGTTTCAATTAATATTCTTTTTCTTTCTCTGTCTCTCTCTCTCCCACGCTCTCTTTCTCTCTTTCTTTATTTGTTTATTTTCTTTACGACATTCAGAGTACCCTCCCATATTGGTACTATTTTTTGTCCTGATGGTTTTAACTTATCTTTGAATAAATATTATAAAATAATTTGATCCCGTCTTCGTGAGTTTCAAAGTTTTTGTGGAGGTTCTTGCAATTACGTCTCCACAAGTTATTCATTATTTGTTTTATTGCCAGATTATGCTTGCATTAACCACTCGTCCTTGTTTTAATTTTGGTTAATTTGGTGTGGTAGATCATCAATCCATTAATTTTAGTTGTTTTCATTATACTATTAAATCTTTTAATTATTTAACGGTCTTCATCTTCAATTTGTCTTAATTGCGTCTTGGAATGTTCCTATTATACCACGAGGTATAAATGTAATTATTATTGTGATGGTTCGTTGACAGAATCCCTACGATTGCTGACAGAATGAAAATTGCCATATTTCAATTTTGCAATTGTTCTCGACAATGTTGTGTATTTCTAGAAATAATTTTCAATACTTGATTTTAATTTAAGAGTCAACACGAGCAATGTTTGTATAACAAGTTTATTCATCTGATTACATGGTTTCATTGGAAATGAATGAAGATAATTATAATTATTACATCTGTCAAACGTCATAAGGAAATTCATTAATAGCATTAAAATATATCAGCTCTAAAATACTAATTGATTAAATACTACCTAAATTGGAATATTACTGATAGACTGTTCAAAAATACTATTATTTAATTAAATATTGTTAATGAGATATAAATCAGGAAAATAAAAAAAATGTTTTTATTCATGAATTCATATGTATGTATTTGTTGCGACCCTAGTCATCATTAAATTGTTCCGAAAAACATCAAGCAATTTAAAACGTTCTTAAAAATATTTTGTAATTCACTACATGCAGTCACTACATGCAGTCTTCTCACTGAACAGAGTAAACGTTAATCCTGGACAGTTTGTCGTTGCCATCCTTTTCGACAAGAACAAACAACAGCCCGCCTTTCGTTATGTCCATGAATTTGGGCACATCCCTTTCGGATAGTCTCAATCCAATTAATGTTTTTACTTGAATACTTTTAATACTTTTATTGTTATTTTCATTCTTATTACTTTTTGGTCCATTTTCATGGACGTTGGTTGATTTGGTGCCAGCGGCATAAAAAATCAAAAGTCGTTTGTTTCCTGTGTCACTGACTATGATGCGATTGTGAGCATCCACGCTGACGCTGCTCGGATTGTTGAGTCTGCCGCACAGTTCGTGCTTTGGGTAGATGGCGCTCTTCAACTGGTTGGTTGCCATGTTGATGACGTAGATCGAGGAAGAGGAGCCAGATGAAGACGATGAGCTTCCCGCGTCCAACACCACCAAATCCTTTAAATAACAATTTTTATTCATTTTTTTAGAGAGAGATAGAGAGAGAATTAAAAAATCCTGTCTGGAACGAGCGACTAAATATATGAAAGTTCTAATTTAATACGACTACCATTAATAATTACGAAATACTGAGATTATAAAATTGGAATAAAACAAATTAAGTTCAGTAAGAAGTTTTAAGTTATTTAGCCTATTCGAACAAACAAGTGCTTAATAAGTATAAACGATGGTAGGTGATTGTGAAAATGTTAATTAATGTTAACTAGTAATCGTGATGATGAGGTGTTTATAATGACGGTCATAAAAAAATTTGTGTGTCATAATGAAAATATCAAGAGCCAGGTACTGAACTCCGTGCTGGGTAACTAAGATGTCGACGATTGGTTCATTATGAAAATGTATTTCATGGAAGCAGTATGAATACAACACGCCTTGTTTAAAAAATAGTTTGGCCGGAGGTTCAATTCTTTTAATTACTATCAATGTGAATGGTGACAATAACTTTAACCAGTGAGCAATTTTTATATACTACAAAGTTTGAAACAGGTTAATAAACATTTTCTTTCTACCACATTACATTTAATACAAGCAATTTGTTTGAGTTAAATTAAAAAGGTATTAAAAGGTTGGTTGTACGTATGTGTATATGTGTATGTGTTAGCGTGTTTGCGTATGTATGTCTTAGTGTATTTGTATGTATAAATAAATTGAGTTAAATAAAATAAATAAAAAACAACTGACGTCTTTGCAAGTGGTAGCAACGTCGACAATGTTTCCAAACAATTTCTTGTGCCCATCGACTGTGCTGAACGTTTTAATGAGGACGATGCCAGAAAACCGGCAGTCATAAAGCGATACCAAACCACTGAAAGCTAATATTACAAACAGTTCGCTGTTCTTCAGTGACGTCATGCATTTAATCGACTGACCATCTAATTTGGTAAAAGCAGTGTAAGCCTTCTCTTCGCCGTCGTAATTAAAAACGGAGAGTTTGTTGTTTGTGGCTACAGCCAGTAATTGATTGCCAAGCGAGCAACCGCAAAATACGTTGTTGACTTTCACAATAGCTAAACATTCCCCAGTCATGTTGAAGACTTGAATGTTAGAAAGTGTTGGATTGGTAACAACAACAACTTCTTGCGGATTGGTATGACTGTGAAGATAACATTGATGAGAAAGCTTCATGGCACTCGGTTTATTCAGCCCACCTGGTTGAGTGCTCAGCTCAGAGTATTTGCCGAAATGTTTCAAATATTGAAGAGTGAATAACAATGGATCTGATGACAAAGCTGCGTTTGATGCTGCCGTTCGAGGTTCATCGCGAACAGGTGGATCATTAAATAACGGGCTTTCTTTTACCACATCTTCGTATCTAAAATTTGCATAACAGTGATAGTGTTATTTAAAAAATGAATAGTAAAACTTTGAAACAGGTTCATATAAAGTTGATTTTTAATTAAAATTTTTAATGTTGTTTTTTATTGTATCAAAAAGCAACCAAACCTTGGTGGAGGGGTGGAGTAAGACAATATTGGCATAGCGTCTTTGTTGCAACCGCCATCGTCAGTTTTCAATGATGGATTTCTCAACTCCTGTTGATGCTGTTCAAGTAGCTGCTGATTATTCTGGTACATAATTTCTTCAGCTTTTGATTGGAAATGTGTTGCAGCGTTTAATGAAATTGCTAGTTCACTTGGCATAGATTTTAAAGAAGAATTACTTTTTATTGTGCTGCTGTTATTGCTTCTCAGAGTATTATTATTACTTCTATAATTTGGATTGAATGCAGCAGGTCTGCTCATTAAACTAGAGTCGTCTCCGTCGTCTGAAAAATCTTCTTGCATCATAACTGATTCATCGTCGGGTGTTGTTTCAAAAATGTCATCTGTTCTTTCTTCGATTATTGTAACTGATGGCATTGACGTTATGGTTGGATTTATTGCACTTGCTGTAGCTTTTATAACAGCCACACGCTGATTCTGCAGCGTGAGCACAGTGACTGGTGAACCGTCTGTTAGACATTGTTCGTTCTCTGCTTTATTATCCGCTTCTGACTGATTGACACTCTGTCGAATTAATTGAGATGATTGTGGTAATGTGACATTGATGACATTTGTATGTACTTGGTTATCTACAAGAATGTGGTCTGTGTTATTCGGTTTTTTGTTTTCTATTGGCAAATGGTTATCTGCCAGCAAAATATCGCTGTTTACTAAATTTAAACTATTCGCATTTGGTTCAATTACGAATTTGTTGTTAGGGTCTTGAACTTTTATAACTGTTTTCCTATCAATAGCCAATAAAGGGGCTGGATTGTTGTCGTAGTCTGGTGTGGCTAGAGATTGTTTGCAAGTCATTTTGTTTGTGGGTTGTTGCATTAACGTGTGACAACCATTACAGAGTCGCTCACACTTCATTTCTTTGGAATTAGCTATTGACAGTTGAGCTGGATTCAAATTACATTTTACGCATAAATCTCGTAAGTTGTATGTTGTGTTATCAGCATCTTCACCGTCTGTTTTGCAGTTAATGCTGTTGCTTTTTGTTACCCCGACTTTAGCTGTAGTAACTTCGAGAGATGTAACAGTTGTTGGTTGTTGTTCTTTTTTGAAAAGTTTATTTAACAAACTGGAAGATTTTTTTTCACATTTTGGCAAATTATGTTCAGAATTAACCTCTATTACAGAAATTGGGTGTACTTGTGTTTGATGCTCTTGTTCAAAAACTTTATTATCCAGCTTATCCATCATAAATTTTTTTATTTTACAAGTAGGGCAATTTCCTTTCACATTGTCAACCAACGAAATGCGAATCTTCAGCCCGGCACAGACTGGACATGCTATTCCTTGGTTAATATTTTGCTGTTGGGAAGCTGTTGAGATTTGGGACGACCTGGAGCAGTTAAATGAATTATTCATTACAATTTACTGATAGTTTAATTAATTTTAACCAAAATTTGTGTATCTCCTAATAGATGTTGGTTAAGAGTTTAAATAAATTTAAATATCAAATGAACGAACTTGGTAGCAACGTCACAATTCAATATTATATATCATTATAATTTATACGTTTAACATTAAGTTGAAACAGAAAAACAATGAGAACCTACTTATTAACACTGGTCGATTAAACTGCAGTGCGAACAGAGCAGCACACGAAATCAGCCAAACAATGGCATGCAGGCGCATTACTCGAGATTAATTTTGAAGGCGTTCGCTACTTACCGTTACGCTCCGTTGCAGTTCATATGTTTACAAAGTACCTACCCACGAACATGTTACAGGATTATTTCTAAAGTCTTAACAAAATATTATACCCAATTCGAAGTTTTTTCTTACTCTTGTGCGTTGCAACTACCACGCGAACGCCACGATCGATTTTGGGGCTGCCGAACACAACGAATTTATAAATTGCCATAGATTTTTTTTACGAAATTGACCAAGATTGAGAAGCGTCTCGTAAAAACTTCAGAGCTTCAAGACAAATTTTTGGCTATTCAGTCACTCGTTATATCGTTAGAACCCTGCCTTCTACTGAAAATGATTTAAATTTTTTATTTGATACTAACTTTTAAATAACAACTATTTGGAAGAATCATAACGTATTACGATATCCAAATAACAGGTCCAGCGTCCATACCGCAAATTCACCAATTAAACAATAAAAAACGTGAATACACCATAATAATGATTAACGAGACTCTACAAATATAACAGAGGATAAGAAGGTCACGAAAGTATAATTTATTAGTAACATATACATTTAACAATGACGTATGCATGTAATGTCTGTGTCCTATGGACCATATACAAAATCAATCAATTAATCAATTTTGATTAATGGCCTTCATCTGGACTAGCTGCTGAGAACGCCAACTTGATGACGTACGGGGCTGTCCCATCTGAAAAAAATGAAATCATATTTATTCATAAGATTATTTTAATGAAAACGACAAGAGTGAAGACACACAGTTATGATTTTAGATCACGTGATGACAACTTGACGTCGTGTTTTCAAACGAATACAAATGCAAAACAGAAAAGAAACTAACTTGGATTAGGAATCTTGGCATTGTTAGCTACCAGGAGCGACTCAGTTGCAGTGACAGCATCGGGAAAGGTGAGGTATCCACGTGAACTACGCTCGGCTGTTCGGAGAATTGAATGCAAAATCAAATATAAAACCCTCACGAAAGCTTTTCAAATTGCCATAAGCAATTACGTGAAAGTAAATTACAAACTTTTGGCAGGAAGCATGACCATCTTAGATGGGGGCACTGCACCGGCTTTGATGAACGGAAGCATCATGGTTTCCTCATCAATGTTTGGAGGGGCATTGAAGAAGTAAACAACTTTCGTAGGAAATTGAACTCGTGTCAGTGGGCAGGGGAATCAAGATTCGAAACAACAATTAATTATTAGCAAAGTTAAAGAAAAGTATTGATTTAGATGTTTCTAGAATTGAAGCTGAAAAAGTTTTAAAAATCAAGTTAAAAACATCCCCCATTAACCATTTATAATAGCCTGCTTTGAAATACATACCAAAAACGTTACCTAGATCAGAGAATGCAAACTGCAGGCCACCAATCTACTTTATGTGGCACACGGTTCAGTTTTAAAATTAATGAATCAAAACGTAAATATCAGCTTTTAACTTTTAACTGGGGTTTTAATATTAATTTTTGCAACTGACATCATATTTTGCACCATTTAATGACATTTCTTCAATCCGAGCTCATTTTTAAAAAATAAAACTTTACTAAAGCTAAAATGCAGGCCAAAGCTGATGTGACTGTTCAACAGTCATAACATAGGACATCATTAAAAATTGTAACAATTTCATATTGTTTGCACACACACGTGTGTGTGTATGTGTATTTGCGTGTCCATTAAAAAGCAATAGTGCTTCTAATGAAGTTCTCAATAGTAAGTTTGAGATTTAGGATTTAGCTGTAGAATTATTGGATGTGTGCATGAACGTAAATAAAAGGATATTGTATTTCTTCAGTGCATCAGGGGATCCAAATCTGTTATTCTTAGAACCAGAGAAATCTTGAAAAGATGATGATCCATCGGGCAATGAAAAAGATGGAGATGTTGACTCAGAAACAAACGGCTGTTTTGAGTTACTGTTGTGGAAAAGCAAAAAAAAAACATGTGTTGCTATACCAACAATGTTGCATCTAACACACAGTATAGCACAGTAAAACATATAAAAACTGAAATTGATAAATTAAACAAAATAGTACATATACAACTATATCTTGACAATTAATGTAGCAAATAGAGAAAAATTATAATAAAAAACCTGATAGACAACTTCTGTCCAAAAACAGTAACATCTCTGAGCATCATCATGACTCTATCACAACCATCTCTATCGGACATCTGAACCATTGCTGACCCATCTTTAGACTTCAAGAATCGAATCTGAATCATGTTCAAACATCAGTCAAATTATTATAAACAACAATCATTTATAAATTAGAAATTCAGTTAAAAATAATGTTTTTGCTGGAGACCATTAAATTTGGAAAATAATGAACAATTGAGTATTGAAGTAACAATTCTTAAACAGCAATAATGAATTGACTGACCTTCACAATATCTCCATAGAGACAGATCAAATTGAACAATCTCTGACAGGTGAACTTTTCTGAATTCAACCCATATATCATTAGTACACAGTTTGGATTCTGAAACTACAAATAAAATCATTGTAAAGTTGATAAAAAGCAATGAAAATGCTAGAAGTCATTTAAATCAAACAAATGAATCAAAAAGTATAAATGTAAAAGAAAAGAAAGCATTATATTAACGGGTTGTTCAAGTGCTCCGTGGAGAGCTGCCCCGCCATACGCATCCAGCAAGTTAGCATCATAATCCACTCTATATCCAGCTGCTGCTCCCGACACACTGCTGTGACCTGATTGACCAAATGGGTTGAAGCCTGCATTTTGACTTTCTACAATGTGTGAATGTGTATAAACGTGTGTGCAAGTTTCTCTAAAATGCTAACACGCTAAATATACATGCATTGCTTCTAAATTATAAAAATTTAGTCTTATTTGAGTAACTAATAAATTTGTTGTTTTCCATAAAGAATATCATCATTTTATATTTTAAATAGGGATCAACTATTTTAATTTCAATTATCAACTAAAATGCTCCCTTTAAAGACATTACGTTCTCAAATTTTAAAAGCTGAGGATTTAAAACATTTTATACACAAATCACTTCACTAACCAAAACCATGACCATTTCCTGGATCCTGAAGCAAGGGTTTATTCTTAGCATAGCCATAATTGGGAGCTACGATATACATTAGTTATTTGTACATTTTGATGACATCAAAGATCAGTGCATATTGCATATGTATATATAAATATATATATATATGTATAATTATGTGTGCGTGTATAAATCTTGTCTGCTTGCTCAGATACTAAAAAAGCAGATACTACTTGAATATATATAGCAGACAATGATATACAATCAGATTTACAAATTGACATAAGAACACATAAAATAAGTGTATTTAGAGTAAAGCCAGTGAGATAGGTGAGCTAGTATGAGTCAGATATATAGATGGCTGAGTTGGATGATTCATCAGACTGTAAATGGTTGAGCTGGATGGTCATCAGATTGTAGATGATTGAGTTGGATGATCAGCTTGATGAATTATTTATTTAAAGTTGAAACTTTGAGATAGTCAGTCAATGCTGATTTCTCTTCTAAAAGATTGAATTTGTCTGTAATTGGCAATGATTCATTCCTCTTAAATTTAGATCGCCAGAATTGCTTCATTCACATATGCATTTCATCATGATACTTTGTATTTCAACGTTGATTTATAGGAGATTATTTTGTTGTCGAGTTCATTGGTTGTTGTATTTATTACATTTACCACAGTTTTAAAAACAGTCAGTTGTATTCTCATCAGCATTAGTACTACTTTCAAGATGATCTGAAAATTGTGTTAAAACAACGTTCACTTAAAATATAGATACAAACAATTAAAAATATATTTAAGCAGATGCATGATTGATGTTAATTCAAAGTGAAGGAAAGGAAGTGAAGGAAATTTTATGAATGAGTGAAATGCTGCTAACCTTTTTGATTGTTTGTTATTAGTGGTGTAGATGTTGTTTTGATAGGGATTTGTTAGTCTCGTGTGTTTTATATTAATGTTGTTCGTATTTGCATCTTGTAGTGTTGGTTTGGTTGTTGTTGTTGGTATTGCAAGTAGGATCTGATTTTGTTCTTGTTTGTTAAAGATAAATGTTATCATTATTAATTTTGATGCTGCTTTGTTATTTTTGTTACTGTTGCTGATGTACTGTTATTGATGTTGTTACCAGTTTGTTGTGTGTATGACCAGTATTGTCAGTGGATAATTGGTGATGTACTACTTGTTAGTATTGTAGATTTGTTTATTTGGTAGTAGTAGATGTAGGTACTTGAAAGGTAATAGTTGATGCAACTTGGAATGTGACTACATTTTATGAAAATTTGATAAGCTGTGATGCAGATGTTTATCTGGCACTCACAAATAAGAAACTTGCAGAAGCTAACACAAGAAAAAATACTAGCAAAACAAACAATATTCACATAGAAGCTCAATACAAAATGATAAAAAAAATCTGAGCATGCTGACCTATACACAAACACATACATTTACACAATACACACATATACATATATATGCACTTTAGAATTTTGAAAATTTACTTTATAAGTGCTTTTACAAAACAAAACCAGCTAAAATGATAAAAATTTGATAACTGTGAAGCATTTTGATGTTTCAAGTTTAGAAGCTAATAGATTTTGTTTTTATTATTCAACGTGTTTTACATTACTTTTCAAAATATACACACACGCGCACACACACACACATATATATTCATACATACATTTATACACACAAACATATATGTGTGTGTGCATAAATATATGTTCATAAATAGCAGTGCTCAAGTCTAACCAGATGGACTGACAGTGTAGTCCCACGTATTCTGATCATTTCTTCTAACAGTAAGGTTGTTTGGCTGAGTAAATTATTAAAACTGTGTTAGTTTTTGATTAAACAGCTTAAGAAACAATAAATAATAATAATAATATAGCAGAAATAAAGGTTTGATAATAACAGAATGCAATAACAGTTTGAAATAAAAAAAAAACAATTAAACCTTCCCAAACTCAGCTTTTATTGTACACGAGTTAGCATATATATCAGCTCCATGCAATCCAGTTTTAACTTTTGTGGCATCCTCAATAGACTCAAATGTGAAGATATTAATTGAGAAAGCGGTTAAGAAAAATATTTACATGCACACAAAAATCTAACCAATGAAACAAATGAACAATATAACAACTCAACAAGAGCACCACAACTTCACAATCTTTGTGTTGTCAATGAGCACAGTTAATCACACACCACCACCATCACACAAACAGAAAAAGAAATTAAAAGGATATTCAACAAGCACTTGCACTCCATTCTTTCTGAAAATAACAATCTTTGACACTGTTGCAATAGGACTGCATATGGCATATATGACATCCTTTAAATGATAGATTTTAAAGATAAAAAACAAGCAATTTCAGCAAATAACTTGAGCATTCTTTAAGATCAATAATTTTGAGTTAGCTTACCACTGTGATAGGATGTCTTGCATTGATAATTGTCAACAAGATGACATTACTAGGGGGTATTTCCATGGGAATCCTTGGAGCAGATTCAAAGAAATGAATTGAAATGTGTGACACCCAATTTTTAAATTTGATTTATAGTCATAATAAAAAAAAGCACTAAAACTTGACTATGTAAAAAAAAACTAACTTGGAATCATATTCAGGTCTTTTAATCTTCTCACTGACTGAAAAGTTGAAGTGTGCTGGCAAGCCGGCAACAGTTAACTCATTTTCCTGATCACCAACAAAAAAAAGAAATCATTAAAAATGTAAATAAGTGTTATCATATGAAATAACTTACCTGCACATAAGATATAACTCTGGATGCAACCTCTTTACTCTGAAATAAGAAGAAAATTACATGAAAATAATATAATTGTCAATAGAAAAATGACTTTATTTGATGCAAATAGCTGACACTTTAATTTAATAAGGAACATCAGTACATATCCAGTGACTTTGTTAATACTTTAAAAAGATCTTTTTGAACAATATTCCTGCAACTAAATTAATGTAGGTGCCCTAACTAAATGGTCATGCTAAGTTTTATAACAGTGCAAAATATCATATTATAATTTGAAGGAACAATCATTCATTTCATTGAAACAACTAATGAAAATATTTTACAACTTTCATTTTTATTAGACCTACCAATTTCAAAATGAATTCAAAAAATTTGAATCAGTATTGTTTTTAATGTATAAAAATTCAATAAAAAGTTCAATTTTATGATGAAAAAGCACACATTTTAAAAACAAGCCATTTTTTAACTTTTTATGATGTCATTTTTATGGTGTAACAGGCACAAGTAAAACTTATTTTAGATGAAAAAATTATAACTTTGGCCTGTTGATAAAATGTATTCATTATATTTTCTCATCTTATGAAAATTATTAAGCCCTGAAAAAATTTTGATTTGTTGAAGATATTTTATGAAAAGCATGAACAATTCTCAATGGTGAAACTAGTTGCATGAAATAAAGATCTTTATTTCTAAATGCTTTTTTTAAAAATACATTCAAATGTGACACCAAAATCTAAACACAAATGTGACAAAAAATTTTGCCTATTTGTGAAATTTGCTTTATAAAATAATAAAAATGGAGAAGAAAATTATGAATGCCCATATTCAATAAATAGGCTGCAAAAAATTTAAACTGCTACTGATATCAATAAAAAAATTTAACTGGGTTGAAGAATTTAAACATGTTAACAATAAAATGATTAATGCTTAACAAGTTTATTAATGATGTGATTGTGACCTTGTAAATTATAATAAATTCTTCATTTTATTTTAAATATTATATTTTTTAATTTAATTTAATGACTCATTTTGAAACTTTATAAAAAAAAATCAACAGCTATTCTATATACATCACCATGGTCTTCATGGATTTAACTGTTAACAACAGCTATATGTTATCAGTGTGGTCATAGTCAAATCAGCAATTGTGAGAAGCTAACAAACGTTTGTTATCACACATTCAGTTTCAAGCTATTACAGAAAAATAAAAAGTATGGTAAATTACATTTTTTTATGAAATAAAAAATAATTTCCTAATGTTTATTTTATAATGATATTCGTTATTAATTGTAAACTGGTTAGTCGTTAGTGTCAGAGTTAGGGAATGTACATTGAACTTATTTAAAAGATAAGTAAAAAAACAGCTATTTTTCCCACATCAGTCAGTCAGAAATCTAATTTCTAATGTAATATATATAGTTGCATGACATTGATGCACAACCAAAAAAGGTTTTCATAAAAAGTAAAAGAACATATCTTATGGCATGCTGAGAACCAGCCTTATTTGGTCAACTTTGATATGCTATTAGAAAAAAAAGACACTAGATGGCGACTAACCTCGAACTCAACAAGTGCCATATTCTTGGCAGGGAAGGTCATGACATAGCTGATCGGCCCAAATCTTTGCAGCGATTGAATTAAATCAGACTCTGTGACGTGCGCGCTCAAACCTCGAACGTGTATGACGGGCGACGGCAGGGTATTCTGAATGGCAGTACAATTACAATACAACGAAAATACAGTCTGAACGCAAAAATTCTTGCTGAAAAATGGTTTAAAAAGTTTATTTATAAAATTTCAACATACCCTGAGAACAGTGACGCTTTGACCTTGGTTGTTTTTCATTCTTTTCGATGAGTAAATACCGTTTGAGTCATTCAAGCTATATGTCGCCATGTTAATAATAATGATGCATAATTTTAGGCGGAAGTGAAAGACTTTTTATTCTAAAGATAACATGTATCAAAGAAAGCGCAATAGTAAATATTAATGAGTACCATGTACTGCGTACCAATAAAAATCATTTATATTAAATTGAATTAGTTTTTCAAATTTTAATTAATTTGTTTAAATTAAATGTTTGTAATTAATTGGACTTTCATCAACGAGCCTACACACTTTTGTGCCGAATACTCGCTGATCTCGAGCACATATATGGAACATATACGTTAACACGTATATATATATATATATATATATAGTTATATTTTGGTAACAGACTGTTTTTAACGCAACATTTCAAAAATTCAACACTACTTTCAACATTGTTCAACTTTTTTATATTTCTTTTTAATTTATTAATTTCAGAGAAATTAGACATTTTATTGTTTTAAAAATGATTAAATATTGAAAACAATAAAATGTCTAATTTCTTTGAAATTAATAAATTATAGTTATATTCTATTTACATGACTGTGAGGATTTTTTTTAAAAGATAATGATAAAAGATTCATTAGCGGCCCAACAACGATTATTTTAAAAACATAATCATATGAAAATATCAACGACTAGAAAATATCAATAACAAAAGTAAAATTCTATATAGAATGCAGTAAAAATAAATTAACTATACTAAACGTAAATATGCAGAACAAGAATGACTACAACCTATAAAGACGTAAAAAAAACACGAATAAGAACAATTTGAGTTACATTGATAGCTTTTGGAAAAATAAAAAAATAATAGTTTATTGTCCGAGTTTCAGTCCGAAATGAATGTATGTAATATATAAAAAAACTAGCCACAATAAATTTCGGGAAAATCAAGGAATCATGGAATAAAAAATATGCAATAAATATTTGCCATGTACGTAAAAAATTGAATACTGGAAAAAAATTATGAATAAACTTGTTAACAAATAAATAATTGAATAACAGTCTGAAGCATTAATACACGCAAACGAACATTTATTTTTACACATTTGCAAGTACGCATGATAACTCAAAAATATTTTTACTCTTTGAAAGCACAAAAAATCTTAAAAGCAGAAAAATTGAATTAAGTATTTCTTGAAGTAGAAGGATCTTTATTTTCTTTCTTATCTGCTCCCATTTTGGCAGCAGCATCATCCTTGTCCGTGCTAGCAGAATGAGACCTTTAAGGAATATTATATTATATTCAATGTGTATAAATAAAATAAATACAAAAAACTCAATAGTTCAGTTGGAAAATCCCCACCATTCAAACTATAAAAAAACATCTTATTAAAACTTGAAAAAAATTGTTAGGTTTTCTCTTTCTATGCAGCGCCGGATTAATATTAATAAATAAGGCAAGGGCAAAATGACCCAAAGCCAGGGCCTCCTCTCGACAGGGGGCCTCCTCTCGTGGACTTTTCAAATTTTTTACCACATCTTTGATTTTACTAAATTATTTTGCCATATCTATAAATAGATGAAATTTGATCTAACTATAAATGCAGTTTTGGTCCTACTACAGTTGCATAAAATTCAAATGCATGCTGGTAAAAATGCGCCATTTAAAAATCGTTGCCCGTTATTTGAATGTTCATTTTTATATCACAGAGTAAGCGCGTTTTGTTTTTCTATATTTCTAATGTGATTTTTTTCCATATTTGCATTCCAAAAAAAATTCGGTTAATTTTAAAAATTAGTTTTATTTCAACATTTTATAGTAATTTTGTTCAATAATTATATTAAATCCTTATTAAATGTTGCTGAATGTTGTCCCCAGACTGTATCCTTTTTTAAATTAATACAAAATATGTACACATTTTTTCTGCCTCTACCGGTCGATGGACAAAGATGACAAGTAATTTGAGGACAAGCGCAGTCGATTTGAACAGAGCAGCTGATACAAGATGGTCCCTCCACTATGATGCCCGTCACGCTTTTGCTACAAAGAAATTCGGGATGCACTTAGTCAAATTGTTTCCGATATGTCGTACTATAATAAACGATATGAAGCCAAATCGTACTACAAAAAGATGCAAGAACAAGAAACTGGCATTATGTCTTTACATTGGAAGGACATAACTGTCCAATTTCACAAAATCAGCAAGACACTTCAGACTTCTGGAATATCACTAAATATCGTTGTCCACAGTTGTACTGGTCACTATCGTCGTTTTTTCAAGGCATGCACGGCAGATTTCAACATTATAAACAAGGTGTCAAAACGCTGGTTGAAAATTATTGCTATTGCGCAGATACATGGAAAAACGTTCATTAATATCTTTTCACGACGACAGTAAATAAGCTGCAATATCTCTTTCAGGTAGTCGTGAATTTGAAATCAACACCTTCTACGCCATCATTGATAGAAAAATTGTTGAATTAAAAAGTCGAGCAACAGCATATGTTTCGCTTCAAGATAGGTACAGATTCTTGACTGACATAATCTGTCCAGACACAACAGTTATTGAAAAAAAGCAAAAAATTCGTCAGGATTCCGCTTAGTTAAGATTTACTCTTTTGGAATGCCCCATTATGTAACAAATTTATTGTTTGTTCATAATAAACGAATAAAGTCATTTTAAAGACGCCATTGAAAAAACATTTTCAAATGAATTTTTGCAATTTATTCTTTTCTGTAAAAATCTAATTGGATCTAGTCGTCACTTTTTCAGCTGTTAGATATCATTACAAAACATGGCTTTTTATCAACATTCCCCAACGTTGAATTAGCTTTTCGCATTTATCTGTGTCTCATGCGCACCAACTGTAAAGGGGAGAGGTCATTCTCAATTATATCACGAATTAAAATAAACCTAAGATCAACTATGGGTCAAACGCGGTTGTCATCATTATCTATAATTGCAATTGAAATTGATGTGGCTAGAATGTGTGATGTGATGTGATGATGTAATTGACTTTTTTGCAGCAGAAAAGACTCGTGGTTTCCCAATGTAACTGATTTTTACTCAAAACTATTATTGATATGTTATGTTATGTTGAAGAAAAAAATTTATTTGTAATAGAAATTCAAACTATGATGTGTTATGTATATCATTGTATTTCTGTACAGTATATCATATTTAAAAAATGTGGTTAATAAAACATTTGTTAATAATTTTTGGAAGAAGACATAAGACAAAGAATTGTGGGAGCACAAAATTAAAAGTAACCTACCTGCTTTTGCCTCCAGATGCAAACCTCTGCCTGAGACTTGTTGTGAAAGAAGTGATGGACTCACCAGACACGTGACGCAACTTCGATGAATTGTCACTTGATGCTGAAATCGACATTCTCGTTTTCCGCTCTGATTCTTCCCTAAAATAATTTCATACATCATACAAAAATAAATTAATTTAACGTCGAATGAACGTTAAATGAATTATAAAATGCAATAAAAATATAAGATAAAAAATTAACCAATAACAGAAATTTGGAAAATTAGGAAACTAATGAATATAAATCTGAATAAAAGCAATAGGCAGTGAATGAGAAACCTACTTGCAGACCATAACAGGACAGAGAGCATGGCCCACCAAATAATCACTAACACTTCCAAGAATCGTTCTTCTCATTTTGCCAATGCCTTTGGTGCCAGTTATAATCATGACGGCCTTTTCCTCATGTGCAACCTGACAAATGACTTCACCAGGTCGACCAGACACTGTCCTCAACACGCCTGGCACCTTGTACATTTGAATATTTAAATCTTAACTGACATCAAACTATGTTCAACATTCAAAAGTCTATCTTAACACAGATCTGATAGTTGTTGGCTTACATGATTTATGTACCAATTACTTATGCGTTTCAAAGTTAAGACAAAGTATGTATATTAATTTATTTATATTTTAATATGTTATTTTTAAATTAATAGCAATAAAATTAATAATATAAAATAATTAATAAACTAAATAATAAATTACAGTATATTATTAAAAAAATAGAGACATTTAAATTAACATATAATATTATAGCGATAGAATATAATATCTATCGCTGTGATCTATCTGATGTTTACAAAATTGAATAAAATAAAAAGACTTTTTTTTCTTTGAGAAGAGTAGCCATCTTATCTTCAAGAGCTTTCATGTTTGCTTCTTCCTCCTTCCACATGTTTGCCAGAACACCTGGTGACATGTGACTATCTCCTAAGAAAAAATTATGGAACACATATGTAACAGTATTCAAAAACCACATAGAAGTGATGACAGTTGATGAAACAATATGAAATCAAAATATTATTAAACTGCTTAGATATCTTTGATTTGTTTGCATAATTTGAAGTTATACTAAAATATGTTGAAAATAATTTCTATATGTTTTTAGAATCAGGAATATGTTATAATTATAGAAAATAGACATTAATGGAACAAATCAATATGAAACTTTTTGATCATAGTAAGTAAAATAAAAAATCATTTACTGGCTTTGTTTAAACTAAGTTCAGGTAGCTCAACACAATGCACCAAAATCAACTTATTTCCTGGTCTGTGAATTTTCTCTAAATAATCTGGTAAAAAAATAAATTTTTTAAAAATAACAACATCTGAATCACTTTCCAAACACAAATGTCAGCATTTCAACTTACAATCAAATTTAAAAATGAAGTTAAAAAATCCCTGTATTGTTATTCTTCAATCTCTTATAAACAATGTTTGAAATTTACATAAATTTTTAAAATCAAAAAAGTTGAAATTTGTGAATTTCATTAAATTTATTTTGTCATTATTCACATTTGTTTTTGATTTAAAAAACAATGAAAAATATGTAATTAAATGCAACATACATATACATTTCCTATGTAAATTGTATATAATATATAACACACATGTCATATTTATACATATACAAATAAAACTCATTTTGATAACACTGATCCCAACACTTAACATTATGTTTATTTATTATTAAATTATTTAAATTAAGTCTAAACAAAATCAAATAGAAAACAGTATAAAAAAATAAAAGTTTAAGATTCTTGGCTAATAAATGTTGTAACTCAATTCAATTACTGAGCTACAATGTTATAAAATCATAACCTTGGATTTGGTCAGAGTTAGAGTTTACAATTGTGTTTGAAGTTTGACTTTTGAATATCTATTAATAAGTGCAGTTGTATTTTATATCTAATTATTTATATATCACTGTGAGGCCAGTATAATATACAAATGTGTCAATTGACATTACTATCTATCTCTAACAACCTTGTGTGTATGTACTAGCATCTACATACACCTTTACCTCTATCTCTACTATTGCATAGAATAGATGCTACTGTAAATTTTAATAATTAATAAATTAATTCAATTGTTAATTTGCAATAATTTAAATTTAATGTTATCAATAGCAGTGAGATCAAAATCAAGAAGGTGAAGTTTAGTCAGTTTTTTTTTAATAAATCAATTTAATTTAAATTAAACTATTAATAAATAAAAAAAATCAACTAATTAGTTAAGTAGTTTATTTAAACTTTTGTGTGAATTAAATTTGTATAAAAAATAAACTATGAAACTTTAAATTTTAAAATTTTAAATCTTAAAACTTAAAATGTAGTCTAGAGAAGAGAAGAGAAAGTACAGTGGAAAGTCAAAATCATAATGCAATTTGTAAAAACTAAAAACCCAAACAAAACAACTCTAGAAATAAAAAAGATCAGAGATTCTTACATTTAACTGCATTTTCAGCCTGATTAGTGTAGTCAATGGCTATAACGATATTCTGCTCCATCAGAAATCCAGGCAGCCAGCACGACGAGCAATGTAACAAACAATCGACGAAATATGCTGTAACAATTTTTATACAATTTGTGTGAACTTAGCCATAAAGACCGACCTATATAAATAATGTATGCAAAGTCTGTGCAATTTCACAAGCGTCCATGTGAGAGGATCAACAAATAAGAAATCTACATTCTCACTTGTATGCAATACATACGTGCAACACAATGTACTCGTATTCTTGAAAGAAAGCTGCATACACTTCCTTCATGTATACAGTGGCGCAGCAAGTGGGGAAAGTCTGGACGATAAAAATATTTAGTCTTCTACAGTTACTTCTAAAGGTGACATTTTTCTTATTCTTATATATAAAATACAGGCTACCTATTAAGCACATCACATTAATACTTATGTCACGTCTGTACGGAATCATGTGATTCAATTCTAATCATTCAAACATTTATGTATAAGCAAAACGTATTCTAATTGAAAATTTAACAGTTTAAAAACATTTAATATATATTTAACCATAAAATTGAACAAATACTCACTCTGATCCAAAAATGTCTGGTTTAGTTTTGGTACCACACACACACATATATATATATATATATATATATATATATATATATATATATATATATATATATATATATATATATATATCCATGGTTGGTATCTACATTTGTATTAAAGAGTCACGTGATTTTCCGTTAAACAATTTAATAATCATAGAAAAAGCATGCGCGTTTTTGAAAATGTATGGAACCACACATAGAATTTTAAACTGGAATTGATTGCCCAATTGTTTTTTTCCCATTGTACGAATGTTACATATTGAATTTAAGTGTATGGCATTTTGTTCTGCCTGTTTTTAAAAACTATCTAGTGCTTGATATATCTTGCTAAAAAATTGTAACACTGTATAGTATTAATTAACTTTCATAATGTATTAAAATGTATGCCAGCTGCTGTTAGGCAGAAACATTCCAATACATTGTATAATTATACAACTAGTTATACATATTTCACTAGATACATAAAACCGCGTACCTTATGTTAAATTGTTGGACCCATTTATTTTTCACGATCATTCCGTTCATAATATATAGTTCGGTCGTTATGGATAAGCTCAGAGTCATGCTGTTTTAAGTATAATTGTAATAGCAACAGGCAAATTTATTGCTAACAACCAGTTACGTGGTTTATGCTGGTATTGATTAAAATGTGGAATACGTTTTTGCAATTTTTTCTAACTCTATTCAACAAAATATTATAATATTGATCATAACAAACTTAGTCGGGGGATCATCTAATCATTGATTGTAATAACGCTAATCAACGAAACACTGAACAACACTCTCACATCTCGAACCACACAAACAAACACACACATATAAACACGTATTAACATAAACGGATGTTTGTATTTACACTTTTTTTTCCTTTCGATGTTTTGTTGTTAGATATTAAATGATGGAATAAAACAATAAGACGGAATACAAAATTCTTTAGCGCCGTTGAGGGTAATAAAAGGCATAATATAAATAATCCGATATTAATAATAACAACAACAAGCAAATAAGATTGAATTATTATTATTATCATTATTATTATTATCATTAATTTATATCGCGTCCCATGCATAGCTTCAGGGACGCTTGTATAAACGATGACTTTTGACGTTTCAGTAGGCCTGGATAAACAAAAAGTTCTTTAATCGTTTCCTAAAAAGTTTGATGGTTGGCTGTTGGCGAATAATGGCAGGCAAACCATTCCTTATAGAAGAAGAGCTGTACGTAAAACATTTGATAACAACTGATGAATTGCTAACAGGTTGATGCAACTGAGTATATGAAGACGAACGAAGTTGATGCAACTGAGTATATGAAGACGAACGAAGTTGACGGGTTGATGAACGACGCGATATAAGTTGATGAAGATATGATGGTTGAGATGTATTAAGTAACTTGTACGTAAGGATGGCGAGTTTAAATATAATGCGTTGACGTACTGGTAACCCATGTAGTTGAATTAGTGAATCTGTGCTGGAAGATAAATTACTGATATTTAGAACAACTTTTGCAATTCTATTTTGAGCTCTTTGAAGTAAAGTTAAAATGTAGGAATGAAGAAAATTGCAATAATCTAAACGGGATAGTACTAGATATCGAGCCAGAGAAGAAGCATTATCTTCAGTGAGAAAATTACAAATATGACGAATAGTCCACGTATAATAGTTACAACATTTGATCAAAGCTAAAACATGAGAATTAAAAGATAAAGAAGAGTCAAAATTTAAGCCTAAAAATTTAAGTTTAGAGGTTGAGAAGAGAGAAGAATCAGCCAAGAAAACGTGTGATGGGGGGGAAGCCGGGGAAGCATTTGATAAGATGTTGCGGAGTACCAAATTACATCAGATTAGTAGGGATTTAGCTGAAAAAAATTTGATAAATGTCAATCGTTTATGGCCATAATACATGCCTTTAAGTTGGCAAGCTGAGACATATGATTAGAGGTGGAAATTTTAGCTATTATACATGTGTCATCAGCGTATTGATAAAAGAGTAAGCCCAAAGTGTTAATGATATTAGAAATAAGAGAGGTATAACTAGTAAAATGATTGGTACCAGGGACTTACCTCTGGGGAACTCCAGTAAATTAGGTGAAGCTAGAAAAAAAGCGGGAGCCAAGTTTAATACCTTGAGAACGATTAGAAAAATAAGATTGAAACCAAGATAAGGCAGATCTTGTGATGTCATATTCTGCCTCAAATCTGTCAATAAGCATTTGATGATTAATGGTGTCAAAAGCTGCTGAAAGATCCAGGCTGACCATGACAGCACAATTTTAGTTTCCAAGTATATTTGCAAACTGGTCGTGAACATGAAAGAGGACTGTTTCTGTTGAATAACTTTTTCTGTAAGCGGATTGGAAAAGAGAAATTAGAAGATGAAGCAATATGAGTGAGAATCCTGTTCAAGACAATGCATTCAAGTAATTTAGAAAAAAGTTGAGAGATTGGAAATAGGACGGTAATTAGAAGGATCAGATGGATCAAGGTTAAAATTCAACTTCACAAACAATAATTCAAAATTGAAATAAAACCAAAAATGTGACCACCCACGTTCCAATTTTTAACTAAAGGTTTTTTGAAAATTTTAATTTATTGGCAGAAAAATATGAATGAAAACAAAGAAGCCAACAGTTCAACACATTTTGATTATTGATGGTTATAAGTTTTTCTAATGTTTCTTTGAGTGTTTTTTATCGTTTATTTTTAGTAGATTAAATTTTAGAAAGAGTGTAATAGACCTTAAACGTTTAAACCTTTTTTAAAATTTATAAAACGATTACAGAAAGTACAAGTTAAAAGAATAACACTGCATAACATAACAGGATTTAAAGGGGTTTAGAAGATTAGAGTCTGTGTGAGAACCACTGCGAGAATAAGTGTCTTAATATTCTAAATTTCCGAGCTTGATCTTGAAACTGTTGATTGATTTCACAAAGACCGTCTCATCACTCAGATCATTCCAGGTGTTTACCACTCTACTACAGAAGAATCTTTGCTTTACGGCACTTTTTATTTTTTGGAGAGCTGATATCTGTGGCAACGTAATCCTATTCTATTCTCCAGTTGAAATAATCTGGTTAACGGTGTTTCTTCTTTTTTGGTAATCAATTTGTATGCCTGTATCAGATCTTCTCTGCATTTTCATGTTTTCAGTGTTGTCAATCCACATTTTCCAATCTATCTTTGAGTGATCAAACATAAGACCAGAAGTAGATCTAGGAGAATGCAGGGGTGAATCCCCCACAAAACCACGAATAAAGCTATATTTTATAAATTTGTAACATTGCTTTACGTCATCGTTCAAAATTTTCTAAATTAAACAGTTTGAAATTTAGTGGAGGTTAATTGTCTAGTGGAGGTTAATTGGTGATTAGAACAGGGACGCCCCTTTATTGAACCATCAAAACCCAAAACACAATATTCTCCAGAAGCAACGGTGTTGATAGTAAATTAAAAAAAGAAATGATGAAAAATAGGCAAAAATAGTTCACCAACTTTAGAAAATCTTCCCCCACCAAAAAATTCTTGGTCCGTTACTGCAAAAGACTGATTACATGCAATGAATTTATAAAACATCGCTGCCACCAGGCGATCGAATTATTGAACCTGTCAAGGAGAAATAAGAAAAATATTCAGTCAGGAATTACAAACAACGGATGTTATGTTATGAATTATGTTGACTCTCTACTTCCTCACAAGTAGAGAAATTGAAAATTAAATACTGACAAAGTAATATTATATTATATAATATAATGTGTGATATAATAGAACACAATTTTAGATTTATGTATAAGTATAGGCTGTGAGCTCCTAGTATTTCGTGCCTCTGACTCAATGAGGTCGGTACGGGTTTGTTTATAAAACTTGTTTTTTCAAGACGGCTGAGACTAAAAAAGATACATACAAGAAAAATAAGCCTACAAAATTTGATCGGTGATTGGGATGGGAATTTGCTCTGTCATGGGGTCGGCCATTTGAGCTAACTTTCCTGAGAATATGGAAAGCTGGGATTGTGTGGGCTGGGGCAGCGATCAAATTTATAATTTTTTTGTTCTTAATTTTGTTGCATTTCCATTATTACACTTTTTTGTTAGCTTTATTGTTTGGTTTTTTATGGTATGCTTGCACGTGTTATTTTGGTACATTTTTTATATTGAAAATAAAACAAGAAAAAAATAGCGTCATTATGAGAATGAATAATAAACTGAACGGACAGATGACTGAGAAGAAATCACGTTACATAACAAATGGATGATGGTCTGAATGAGGATTGCAGGATGCGCTGGTAATTGACTTTGCAATGTGGTGTAAATGTTCATTACAAATAAAACGTTCATTAGTTAGGATAAATAAAAATTATGAAGCTAGGCAACGGGGAATATTTGTTTGCATCTCACGAGTCTGGAATTAAAAATTTGCAAACTTTTTCGCAGTGTGTTTTCAAATACAGTAATCATTTTTTAAAACAAAAATAGGTCAAATTACTTTTACACTGTGATGCTGATATTACATTCGTTGCACATGATTTTTTTTTATAGAATTTTCAGCTTAGAATATAAACCTCTTAAATAGTTTTTACATGTTAACTGCACAATTCCAATACTGCTACTCAAAAATTGACAAAATGCATCATCTCAAATTTTGAAACGCATGTATATGGACGATAAAAGATAAAAATTCTAATACATAAATAAATAAATTAATTAATTAATTATAATTAAATATAATATTGAGTTACATTAATTTTATTTAAATTAAAACAAAATACGACAAATTTTGTACGGAATAAACGGTTTTTTCACAGAATTTTTTTCATAATCAAATAAAAACACTATGCACGAATTTGCCATACTCAATCAGAAATGTCAAGCCATCCAGGCGATATTTGCTCACAGCTAACACCAGAGACATGCGCTGTGACAGTAATAGTGATTATCTAAATATTTATTTTGTGATTGCTTGTTTTAATTGTGATTCTATTACATAAATTATTTGTCATTTCCATTTAATAACAGTTTAATTTTGAATTGATAAACTGCTCAACTTTACTCATTACTAATTGAAGTTACTAACAAAGCTAAACAACTATCACCCCTAAAAGCTTTTATTTATTTATAAGCCAGATAGTTGGATCAGAAAAGCAGAATTTGCCGTTTATTTGAACCAAACTTTCAAGGAAGATTCAAAGTCTGTTGCGTACACCTTATTTGGTTTGAACCAAAAAGGTAAGTAGAAACCGCTTAATTCGACCGCAAATATGGCTGCCAACAGATACAATGATTGTAAATATTCTGTTATTTATCAGTTCAAAAATTTTTAGCTTTTGATTTTCTTATGAGTTTACATGTATGTAGTCAATTTAAACTATTAGCTAAATGATTTGAAAGTTGTCTAATAACTGGTTCTGTTGCATGCTCTAATTTTGTTTTGAAGTCTTCTTGTTGAAAAATTGAAATTTAAGAGAAAATATCAAAATTATCTTTTCATTGAGAATTAATCACAAAAAAATTTAGGTTCTTGCAAAATGATATGCTGCCATATTATAAACATTGATGAGTGAAAAAACTAAAAAGGTTTTGGTGATAATTTCAAAAAATATTTAAATGCTAAAATTTGAATCATATTCAAGCCAAACAGAAAATTGGCGTAGTTTTTGAAAAAAGTTTAATAAATTAATTAGGACGAAGGAGGAGTTCATGTTGCTTCCAATACATCGTCGACTCCATTCATATGGCATTATGTGAAATATTGTTGGAGTGCATTGCATGATGTGCCTGTGCACGTGCAATGTGCTGTGCAGCCAAGTTTGACGCTAAAGAAAAATTTAAAGTGAAAATGTAATTTTTAAGTTTTTTCACATCAAAGGTGACAGAAATTTTGAATGAGATATATAACAGCAGCGAAATTTCTGAAGATCTATTCAAGTCAATATTTATTTCATTACCTAATGCAACCGAATGTGAACTACATTGAACAATCAGGTTGATGAACTATCATACAAAACTCATCTTGAGAATTTTAATGATGAGAGCACGAGGCAAAATCAGATCTGAAATTTCAAAAGTCACAATGGATTAGATAATGGATTAGTGAGTAAGTGAGGTGATCTAAAACTAGATTGAGTAAATGATGAAGTTTTATTGGGTGCTAATATATTCAGGGTGCAGCACGCAGGCAACAAAATCCGTGTCCAAAATTTAAAAACTTCAGAAATCGACCTTGGCCATGAAGGTCATGGATGAGTCATGAATTTAAAAAAACCATGAAAAAATTTACTTTTATTGTTATTAATCAAGTAGAATAAGCACTGGCACCATAAAGCATCATCTAATCAGCAGGCGCATAAACTCAACGTACGGAGATTACTAGGCATAAGGCATGCATGTTACGTCTACAGTACGCAAGCAAGCACAACGTGCATTATATATTACGACAATCTCTGCATATAGATTAAAGGCAAAGTGAACCAGCGTCTTGAACGAGAGTGATAATGTATAACATTCTTGACGCCCACCACAAAACAACACAAAAGTCGGCCAGACTAATTCGCACTCCTTTTAATAAGCGAACAAAACGTAACGACCTGGGCGTGCGCGATATCAAGAAATAAATTCGCCACGAAGAAAAGGTTCGCTGAATGTTCAATGGAAAACAAAACTTTCGATGGACGGAGGAAATGTTGCTGTTTTTTGTGGATGAATTAAATTTTTCTTTTGGACGCCGAAGTAATTAAATAATAATAATTGTTGTCGGTCGTCACTGCAATCCGAAGAATAAAATATTCGATCGCTGTATATGATCTTTTCGAAGTTAGTTTTTTAATTCAATTATTTTTTCATTGTTATCATTTTAGTAACAAATTTTATATTCAAATTTTTATTATGCGTGAATTGTTCGAAATTACAAAACGAATGTTTTCGGAAAAGTCCACAATACATACACACAATCGAAGAACGCAGACAGACAACACTTTTTGTTACAATGAAAAAAGATAAACATAATTTCTTTGTAACATTGTTACACCACTCCAATCAATTTAAGCGAATACGCATTACGTGCGTTAAGTTTTATATGAGCTGATCACATTTATCGTCTGACAATTGCATCTACAGTGTTCAAAATTATCGAATATTGTTGGTAGCAAAGATGCTGAATATTGGAAAAATGCAAAGTTATATTTTATTAGTCATCTAATAAATAAATTCTTCGCATAATTTTCATTGCATACAGTTCGTTCACACACATCATAATAATACAATATTCAATAGACACGCGTAACAATTGTCATCATTCTCATCGTCAAACATTCACGTCGTCCACGCAAAACATCTGCCGACAGGAGCTGTGCATTCATTTCTCTATCGACAAGATGCAGTTCAACTAGTCCTTTTGTTAGCAACTCGTTAAAATAGTTAATTAATTCTCTGGCTCTACATTTTATTGCCGGCGATAAAAGAGATGATTAGATTTCTCCGTTGATTTCCTTACACTCCTGAGTCTATTTACCTTTTTGCTCGTGTAATGACTTTCACTGCATCTACTAATACATATTTCAAGATGGCCAATATAACGTTGGTTCGTCTGTTTGTTTGCACGTGTGTTTGTTTGTATGTTTATACTTATGTTTGTTAGAACGTGTGTTTGTTTGCATGTGTTTGTTTGCACGTGTGTTTGTTTGCAAGTGTGTTTGTTTGAGCTTGTTTAACTATGTTTGCATAAGCTTACATAAGTTTTTAAACAGGTTAATGCATGAATGAATGTGATGTATTTGATAGGTTTGTTTTTATTTTTGAGATTTTTAGTGTCTTTTTTGCATTTATATTTTTGCATCTTTAACTTTTTCATTTACAAAAAAGCTTTTGTATAAGATAGATTTCCCACTTTGTTTGAGCAATTTTAAAAGTTTTTGTTTTGAATTTGATTACAAAGAAACAACTTTAGCCTGTATGTTATTCATTTGAAAAAGTTTCACGACTGTTGATTTTTATTTATGGTCTGTTATTACATTTTTGTATTTTTGCAGAAGACTGAAGGAAACGTTAGTTCAATCTTTTCATTTTTGAAACAAAATTTTAAACAGCCATGAAATAATTCAAATCAAAACGGGGGACATCGTAACCTAATCTGACGCAGATCCTTCCAATAGGATTCCATTGAAATGAATGTAATTAAATTCTGAAAGAATATTTCTATCGATGCAAGCCAAACACAAAATAAAGTTTTAAAATGTTTGAAGATTAGGAATGGGGAAATTAAACCAATGAAAAATAAATAAAAAAAAGTTGATAGGAAAAATAAGAAGAAGTAAAACATAGAAATAAGCGCAAACACAACATCGTGCGTGTGCGTGTGAAAAGGTAGAAAAGAAGAATACATGATACTAAAACAGAACAAAAAATTAAAAATGACAAATGTGGAAGTGAAAATGGAAGAGAGATAGAAAAATTGATAAATAAATAGAGATCGACGGAGAGAGAGAGAGAGAGAAAAAGAGAGAGAGAGAAGTTAATAGGACCGATGAAGGAGAAAACATGAAATCTTTTCGCATTGTGTGAACTGAGACTTTTCATGCCGATATTAAATGCATTAACAGTTATGATGTAGTTCAGGCAATTTCCTTTCATTTGATAAAATTGTTTTTCTGACTGTCTGTATGTCTCTGTCAGCTTGTCTGTTTGTTTGTCTGTTTGTTTGTCTGTTTGTTTTTCTGTCTATTCGTCTGTTTGTTTGGCTGTGTGTCTGTTTTTGTCTGTCTGTCCTTATGTATGTTTGCTTGTTCGTCTATTTATTTGTTTGTTTGGATACGCAGTTAGATGCATCTATAAAATGTGTCCGATTCATTAAAATAATAAAACACGTGATTTGGATCTGAAAAATTTCCTTGTAAAAAAAATAGTTACAAATCACTAATCTATAAACCGGGTGATGTTTTTCAATGTCTTGTGTAATATTTTCTAACAGGCAACTACTTAGCGCAAACGTGCCATGTTTTGCGTTCCGTTCAACGGTATAAAAATTTGATTTGAACGCAGTTTGTACACAGCTAAAAGATCATCTGGGATTTTGTGAGTACGATGCAGTGCCGGTAATAGAGCGTTGTGTGGTGTTGATGTGGGTGCCTATTATGAGACAGGAAAATGTTGAGCAACTAAATGAGTAGAAATTGTTTTGTAAGAAGTTCAGTTTTACCTCAGTTTCAGTTTAGCAATAACAAAAATCAACAAAATTTATTGATAAGCCAACCAAATACTAAAATTGTCACTCAGGAGTGTAAGAGTTAAAAGTAAATAAACAAATAGAATCAAAATTGAAAGTATTGATGTGAGCGAATCGATGCAATGGGAGAGGATGAAAAAAGTTGTGTACGTAATGATTAGCTACGATGGATCGTTGAATAAGCAGGCAAAGTGGATTCAAAATTGCGAAATGATCGATTGCTAAAGTGCATGATTATGAATTATTACAAGCCTCCGAACATGCATATTATTTCTTCTTCGGTGAAAAGTGCTTGTTAAGCTTCAAATGGGGCAAGGTTAAGTAAATATATAGATAAATAATATAGATGTGTGTGTTTATTTAAATATATTAATATACTATACACACATGTATATATATATATATATATATATATATATATATTTATATATGCCAAAATACAAAAGATTACAAAGGACAGCGAAGAAGCCGACGAATGAGATGGTTGAAAATGATAGAAAAGATAGTTGAATGTAAACAGACAAACACATGAATAAATAATATTTAAATTAAAGTTTAAATGAAACTAACAATTCAGGCATAATGATTGTTCGTGTTCATGTTCTAACCAATATGACTTCATCTTTGCAGGACATCAGCGCAAGGGAACACCACACGCATACACTGGTACCAACACGATCATACACGCCACATACAAATTCATTTTAATACATACTGATTATTGAAAACAAAACTCGTTCATTAAATAAATTTTTATGAACGAAACATTCTGTAAACAAAATGAAGAATACAAAATTGGCACACCTCGTATATTTTCATTCGTTGTAAATTATTCATGCGCCATCATCATCTCGAACACAAAAAATTATTCTTTCAATCAATTATGCAAATGACCAAAAATGTTATTTCTTATTTAATACTGTGAAGTTGTGACGATTGTGATGATAATGATTGCGCGATTGAAATATGCCGCCTGTATTGTGATGATAATGATTGCGCGATTGAAATATGCCGCCTGTATATTATGTGAAATTGTGACGATTGTGATGATAATGATTGCGTCTTTGAGGCGTGCCGCCTATATATATCTATATATTTTACTAGACATTCTATGCATGTATATTTTGTTATTTGATATGCTATATATGCGACGCTGCTGTGCTGTATCGCTTTTCTGAGTATAGGAAAAGAGTATAGATAGGAGTATAGAATTTTCTATGATATAGAAAGCGTTATGTAGATAGGGCGGTAAAAACATATAAAAGGCCGCGAGTTGAGATATAGGAGGAGGGGTCGTTTGTTATTTTAATTTTAGGTTTTGTCTCTTGCTTGGTAGTTGTATTATTAATAGATTAATTTTGGATTTATCGTTTTGTTTTAATAAAGACAGAGGTTTGATTTGTACTATTTTGTTTGTTATTTTATTTCTTTTATTGAATAAAAGAAGTGTACACTCGAAGTTTGGCTCGGTTTAATTATTCTACCTAAAATAATGGATGTTGAAGAAGACTTGTTGATAGTTGACGAGGTCGGCGTCTCTAGTCAACAAGCAGGGCGCGAACAAACTTCCGCCCGGCCCGTGTTTTCAGACCCTGAGAGGGTCTATTGTAGAGTGGCGGATCCCGGCCAGAAAAGACTCCGCCGAAGCGAAGGTTCGGGTGGATATTCGTATGCGGACGCGGTTCGGGACCGCGTGGTGCGGAATTCGAATGTCGCCCGGCGAAAATCTACAATTGGCGCCCAACGTGGGGCCTCTTTTTCAAACATAACAGGTTTTAGGTGCAGCAGGAGCCAAGATGATTCTCCAAATTTTTTAGGTGACAGGTGCCATGTTCGACAACATGAAACTTTTTTAGATGTTAGGTCACAGGAACCGAAGGAGGATCGAAAATCAACCTCGAGCAGACTTTCAACGCCCGCCAGCCAAAAAAATGAAATTGTTTTAAACAACAATCGTTTTGAAATTGTTGACAGGTACGAAGAAAAGCCGCGCATTGATTTTTCAGCAAACAATTTAGGTTACAGGTTTATCCTCAAACAGGATATTTTAGGTTTTAGGTGCCTGGGTGATCCAAAGTTACAGGAGTTCGGACTGAATGAGCTGCGATTGGCGTCCAGTAGATCACGGCGAAATAAAATTTTAGGTAACTGCAACAGGTGCAGAGCGACCGAGCGAGAGAGAGACACAGTTGAACACAAGTCGACGAGTGACAGTCGGGAACCGCTTCATTCAACTGATATGAAGTCTCAGGTTCATCAACCGCGTATAGGTGCCGAGCGTGACAACGACTTTTGTCGTCGCGAATTGCTTCGACCTGACAGATTTGATGGCACCGGCTGTCTCAAAACTTTCTTAAAAAATTTGAGATATGTGCCAGGTACAATAATTGGAATCTCGTAGACATGGAAGCGTATTTGTCATGTTCGTTAAAGGTGAAGCTTCACAGGTTCTCTGGGATTTAACAGGTTTAGGTTACCAAGAGCTGGTATCTAAGCTAGAAGATCGTTTTGGAACAAGAGGTCATGAAGAGTCATACAGGTACGAATTACAGATTCTTCGTCGAAAACCTGGTGAGTCGTTACGAGAGTTGTCGATGGTTACTAAAAGACTCATGTCATTAGCCTATCCAGGAGAGCAGTCAAGATTAGCTACACATCTAGCTAGGGACTTTTTCTTGACAGCCCTCGATAATGCTAAATTAGAATTAAAGGTTAGGGAAAAAGAACCAAAGAACATTGACGATGCTCTTAGATTCGCACAGCGTCTTGAAGTTTCAAAGATGGTGGTAGATTCATCTCACAGGTTTGACCCGCAGGTTAAAGATTTTCAAGCAGGGGCAGAAAACATGGAGTCGATGGTACGACAGATTGCGTTCCTTCAAAAGTCATTCGAAGAACTCAGAAATAAAAGAGTGCAGCCAACGGTATCCCGAGTTGAGCGAGAGAAAATTTGTTTTAATTGTAAGAAACCAGGTCATCTTGCAGTCAAATGTCCTCAGAAGAATGAAACCTGCAAATCCCAAACTTATAGTCAAGTGAATTTCAAAGGTTGTTACAAATGTGGAAAGACAGGTCATTTTGTGAGGGAATGCCCGCAAAAAGAAATAACAAGCAGCACAGTGGATCACGTGAACAAGTCAATTGAAAGTAACGATCGTGTCTTGTATCTGCCAATCACAATTAATGGCAAAAGAAGATTAGGTTTACTTGATAGTGGCAGTAGTGTATCCATTGTTCCAACGTCTATGGTTGATGTCACAAAGATCAGACCGACGAAAAAAAAATTGAAAGCTGTCAACAACACAGAAATTCCAGTCAAAAGAGAAATGAAGTTGCAAATTAAAGTTGATGATTATTCCAAATCAGCGTTAGTGTTGGTGTCTGATCATGTTTCAAAAATTGTTTTAGGTTTAGATTGGCTCAGGAACAATCATATCTCGTGGAAGTTTGGCGAAGGAAAAATCACCGTGGGTAACAAAAATAGAACGATGAACTTAGTTATTAAACATTTTTCATGCAGGAAGCTTTGTCGTATTGAAGTTCACACAGAAGTGCGCATCCCTGCGCAGACTGAATTAGACGTGCCAGCAAAGATGATTGTTCGCCAGCCGTCCAAGTTGGAATCGACCGGATTTATGTGTTCGGAAAACAGACAAATAGAATTGGGTGTATATGTAGCTAGAACGTTACTACCTATAAAATATGAAAGACAGTGTGTTAGGATCTTGAATGTCAACGATCAGCCGGGGGTGATAAACCGGGGAACGCGATTGCCAGATTTATCATCGGCTGTGGAAGCAAAGGAATCAGTTGATCGTCTAGCATATGAAAATCTAACAGAAGTTACAGGTATGGTTGATGGATTAGTAAAAGATATTTCTAAGAAAGCAAGAGAAGAGTTGATTCAAATACTTAAAAGCTTCTCAGACAGATTTAGCTGTGCGAGTGGGGAAATAGGTGCTGCAAAAGGAGTTTTTCATAAGATTGATACTCAGGATGCACGACCGATAAAACAACAGCTGAGGCGACATACTCCGGCGCATCAGAAGGTGATTGCGGAACAGGTTGAGCCTGAAGACATCGCAGAAGACGATTCCATAGGGGAGCCAACAGAAGCACCATCACGAAGTAGCGACGAGTCGACCGAGTCGCTTGTCCAAACCTGGACAGGCAAAGATAGGCCAGAATTTTTACCAGGGCAGCCGGACATTGTTCCAGAACTTGTGAAGCTTGCTGACGAACTCTTTGATCAGCGACCAGATTTGTTTGCCGTAGGTAACCAGCCATCGATGGACCTGTTTGCTGGTCTGGACGAACGACCGACAGAAAACGATCAGCAACTGACGGAAACTCAATCGAGCACGACGGCCACAACAAAAAGAAAAAGGAGGAAACCGACGAGGTGGGGACCGGAGCTAGAAAGATGAATGGTGGAAGTTCCTGAGTCTGGTGAAAATCTATAAGAGCAAACGTCGGGACGACGTTTTAGAGGGTGGGGAGCTTTGTGAAGTTGTGACGTTTGTGATGATAATGATTGCGCGATTGAAATATGCCGCCTGTATTGTGATGATAATGATTGCGCGATTGAAATATGCCGCCTGTATATTTTGTGAAACTGTGACGATTGTGATGATAATGATTGCGTCTTTGAGGCGTGCCGCCTATATATATCTATATATTTTACTAGACATTCTATGCATGTATATTTTGTTATTTGATATGCTATATATGCGACGCTGCTGTGCTGTATCGCTTTTCTGAGT